ACATCTTGTTTTTAATCATTTCACCCCAAGCAAGGCAGTCAATCCACTAAGACGTAAGGAGTTGTTAGTCAGTGATGGAGAATATGAGTAAAAAACACGAAAGTGAGAGAACAATAAAAAAAAAAACAGGAATAAAAGACAAAATATAAATATTGACGTTGGATATATATTTTTGAAGATGAAAATTGACTGGAAAGCACGGAAGAGAGTTCCACAAGCAAGTGCTATAGAAGAAACTGCTCGCATAGAACTTACGGTTACATCTAGCTAGTTTAACTGTAAAATATTGAGACTTTACTACCAATCTGGTAGAGCGTAAAGCGATCTACCAGATTGGTAGTAAAGTCTCAATATTTTACTTATATTCAGAAGTCTATATATCACAGAGGAAGGAGTTCATCATAGTATTTATCGTGAAAGTATTTACAAAAAAGGCACAGGGAAGCTACAAATTAATCTTTCATGAATCAACCCCACAGAACTTAAATTTATGTCTAACTTAAATAGGAAAATAACACAAAAAAATTTGTTCCTTAACATCTTGATTTTGATTGGAATTTTTAGCTTTTTTCTTTCTTCATTCTGAGACAGAAATATACTTTTATTTTAATTAATTTATTTATTTATTAGAAGTAGGTTTATATATATATATATATATATATATATATATATATATATATATATATATATATATATATATATATAAAAATGCCCGTGCCAAAAAATGTGAATTTCTTAAGTTTATATATTAGGTTGGTGCAAAAAATAATGACGTAATAATGTCGTTTTTTGACCTTTAGTTCCACGTGTCATGCCTCTTCCAGGTGTCTCAGTTATTTCCCTTTCGCTCAAATGTTCAAGTTGTTTTTCACTACTGCCGTAGCCAGGTATTGAACTCACAACTCTTTGGGTCGAGTCACTGGATCCAATCAACGTTTGATAAATAAAGAGTTCAGTTTGAAATTCCAGTAACCTGAAGACGGCCGGAGCGTACAACGACCGAAACGTCGTGAACATGACAATAAATATAAGGACAACACTCGGAACAATGTAAATAATGTGAATAATTACAATACCTCATTTCAGATATATAGACAGATATTCATAAGCTTATTTATGTCAGAGTTTACACTTCGACTTTTTTGTTTTTTTTTTTTTGTAAATTATTTTGATTGAAAGACAAAAATAGGAACAACGCAAACTACTGTTTTTTTTTTCAAACGCTAGGCATTGATGTTAGCAATTGAAAACACTTTAAACAGCTTATTTGGATGACGTCCATTGATGAACATGAGGAGCACAAAAGAAAATAATACTTGGTTTTATTCAGGCAACGCTTTGCTCTTGAGTAATTAGTTGAAAGTTTTCCGTTTGATTTTGTTGCATTGATTTTCTACGTATGGATCGATATATCCATACAGACTGACAGATAGATAGATAGATAGATAGATAGATAGATAGATAGATAGATAGATAGATAGATAGATAGATACAGACAAACAGCAGACAGACAGAGAGACAGAAAGGTAAGATAGACCGAAAGAAGGAATGATACTTACAGGCAGACCTGGAGGCTGGCTTATAGATAGATAGATAGATAGATAGATAGATAGATAGATAGATAGACATACAGACGGGAAAATAAATAAATAAATAAATAAATAAAGAAAGAAAGAAAGAAAAGAAAGAAAGAAAGATATATATAAACAGACGTGCAGCCAGACAGAAAAACAAACAGATGCAGGCAGACTGTTAGATAGATAGATAGATAGATAGATAGATAGATAGATAGATAGATATAGACAGACGTCCAGACAGACAGACAGACGGAAGAATAAATAAATAAAGAAATAAATAAAGAAAGAAAGAAAGATACAAACAGAGCTGCAGCCAGACAGAAAACAAAACAAACCAAAAAACAAACAAAAAAAAAACAACAAAAAAAAAAAAAAAAAAAACAGATGCAGGCAGGCTGTTAGATAGATAGATAGATAGATAGATAGATAGATAGATAGATAGATATGAACAGACTAAGATAGATAGGATAGATAAATAGATAGATAGATAGATAGATAGATAGATAGATAGATAGATAGATAGATAGATAGATAGATAGATATGAATAGATAGATAGATAGATAGATAGATAGATAGATAGATAGATAGATAGATAGATAGATATAGATAGAACAGACTCAGATAGATAGATAGATAGATAGATAGATAGATAGATAGATAGATAGATAGATAGATAGATAGATAGATAGATAGATAGATAGATAGATAGATAGATAGATAGATAGATATGAACAGACTCAGATAGATAGATAGATAGATAGATAGATAGATATAGATAGACAGACTAGATAGATAGATAGATAGATAGATAGAACAGATAGATAGATAGATAGATAGATAGATAGATAGATAGAAACAGACCCAGATAGATAGATAGATAGATAGATATGAACAGACTCAGATAGATAGATAGATAGATAGATAGATAGATAGATAGATAGATAGGAACAGACTCAGATAGATAGATAGATAGATAGATAGATAGATAGATAGATAGATAGATAGATAGATAGATAGGAACAGACTCAGATAGATAGATAGGAACAGACTCAGATAGATAGATAGATAGATAGATAGATAGATAGACAGATAGATAGATATTGAATTTTAAATCCGACATTATTATTTCTCATTACTATCAACGTTATTTTTAATGTTTATACAGTGAAATTAATAACGACCTGCCCAGATTATTTGGAGGCACATTTTTCTGTCGGAGGACAACGTCTCGATCTCGGCTACTTTTTACTAATTTCACCTTTTAAGGAAATAAAATTCTGTATCAATTTGCGCATGCGTACACGCTAAAAATATGGTTCATAGTAATAAGATTTAGAGATATATCGATAGTTGGAATTAGACGTAAACGAAATAAATTAGATGAAAATGATAGAGAGAAATACTCAAACTGATATATAAATATGTATAATGTGTGTGAATGTGTTTATATGAACAAACAAGGATCGATATATAAAATGAACAAAAATCAATATTCTATAATTTATTCCATGATTTCCAGGCACAAATCTAATCTAATGACTGATTTTGTATAAATTTGTTCAACATACGTTTCTCTTTTTCGATAGATTTAATATTAGATCGATATATGACATATTAACCCGATTAATTACAGAGTGCCATATTTTTCGGAACTTGTGATAACTAAATGACTTGAGAAACTTGATTTCTTAAAAAGTCCGTAAGAGAAAGATTTTATAGACTTCAACCGAAAACTGAACTGGCTGCTCGGTCAAAGAATGTCAAAAGTTTCCTTGTAGGGAAACGACCAAGATTATCATTTCATTAGTAAGAACTTCATGTTCAGTACAATAAATATATCTATCAATTCGATTTCAAGATAGAGACCCTTCGACTGTTACCATTTAGTTTTTCATGATATATACGTTCGTATCATACAAATGACAAGCTTTTTATATTATGTTATTGAAAAGGAAAAAAAAAAAAAAAGAATTCATTTGTCATTTTGAAAAAAAAAAGCAACAACAAAAAAGACGCGTATTTATTTTGTTCAAAATAGTCTTTGTCTTATATTTATCGACAAATTATTTATCACATGTTACAAATTGACTTCAACTGTTTGCTAAAACGTATCAAGATTGATGAGATATTCTAAAATCAATTTATCATCGCGTTCTCAATTGAAAATTTAATGAGAACTTCATTTCTCCTTCTCACCGAAATATTTATCAAAATGGTAAGACAAGCAAGTTTCCGTTCTCTATTTTCAGCAAAACTCATACACCATTACCTATTTTCTCTTATTATTCACTTTCTCCCATGCGCCGAGTAATTTACACTGTAGCCTTGGATGTCATACTATTTTTCGATTCCATTCAAACTTATATCGTAAATATGATTGAGTACTAGTGATCGCAACACCTCCGAAAAAAGCAAAGTATTGATCAAAATAGAATTAGTTGATCCATAACGTTGTAGTTTTTACTTAGCCCCGCCATTGTTCTCTGCATGCCAAGCCGATGCATAGGTCTGTTGATGCTTGCTGCTATGTCTGAAACTGAAGTGTTTCTGCTGACTCAAGATCTATTTTGTTGCAGAGGTGACTAAGTTTTGACCTGTCTGGTTTGGTTGAACCAGCCAGGAGATATATTTTCCCTTCAGTATAGCTCTCCGGGTCATCGGAGTACGCAAGTCACTCCATGAAGCAACTATATTAACTTCTTTCTTTTTATATGCCATGTCCTTTCAGGACGTTGGCGATCATGGCTCTCCATCTTCCTCTATCCCTTGCAGCTCTCAACAACTTTCTTCCCTCTGCTTCTTCCTTTAGACCACGTATTTGTCATCTGCTAGGTATGTCACGCGATGTTTTCCTTTGTCTCGTTTTCCCTCCATTCGACCTGTGAGTATCAGATTCTCCAGGCCCTCCTTCCTCATGATGCATCCCAGAAATTTCAGCTGCGTCTTCTTGATATTAAGTATAAGCCTCCTCCTTGTTTGCAACTTCTCTAAGATCTCATCGTTGCTCACACGCTCGGTCCATTATATCCTCAGCATCCTTCTGTAGAACCACATCTCTTGGGCCACGAATCCCTTCTTCATCTTTAAGGGAATCGTCCAGCCGTAAAGAAGGACATACGTCACGTAACAGTTCAATATTCGTTTCTTTGTTACCAAAGAAATCCTCCTGTCTTGCAGTACTCTTTAGCTGCAAGTCCTATAAATAGCAATATGCATGAAGCGAATATGTCCTAAATCCTATATCCGCACGCTCAAGAGTTATTAAATCTTAACACGTTTTTTTTTATATTATGAAAGATCAAACACGATCGAGAATTTCGAAAGATTATATACAAATGTTTAGTATATTTTATTGTATTTAATTCTGCACACACAAAAAACATCAATTCAAATATAAATTTATTGTTTACATTTACGTCAGGTTGAAACACTGGTTTTTCTACGATCACTGAAGTTAAGCAAATTCGAGCTGGGTCATTAGCTAGATGGGTGACCGCTTGGGAATACCAGGTACTGTAAGCTTGAATGTGCATATAATTGATAATGACTTGAAATTGTTTAATATTTTCTGTTTTTAAATAACTTACAAAAGGCTGATAATAGTTAAATATTTAAAAGTGCATTTTTTCCATGTAGTTCCTTCTACGACAAACATTAGTATTGGTCGAAATCACAAAATAGGAAGCCCAGTGTCACATATGGCTGCGGCTCCATTATGTGAGAGGCAGACATGGCCACAGATATTTTATGTACATGTCTACCTCAATAATGTTAAAGAAGACTTCGCGCCACTGTTCATACTTCCTCTTTGATGGCGGTCTCATCAAGATATGTCATTGTAGTTCCTTTTATATACTCAATGTCAAAATCATATGCCATTAATTTTATTGCCCACCTTAGAATTTTGGATGATGTATCTTTTAGTGCTCCCACTTCCAGGGTTAAATTAATGTTTATGGTCCGACTTTAATAGGAATTTCCTTAGAAGTGCGTTTTTCCAAGTAGGTCCTTCTACAACAATTATTTCTATTCGTAGGATTCGCAAACTAGGAAGACCTTTTTACATATTGCTGAAAGTCCAATATGGGAGAGGCAGATATGGTCAAATATGTTGCATGTAGATGCCTATCTCTGTCTTTATTTATCCCGACTATAAAGCAAAACCCTATCAAGAACTTAAGTAAGCATTTTGACAATACCCTGAAGGACCCTGTCGCAATCCAGGAAACAAAGGACATGTTAGAAGTATGGTTAGAAAAAGTAGACAAATCTGGCTTACCCGGTCGATACAAGGCATTGATTTATCAGCATGTTATCCTGCCCAAGATATTGTGGCCGTTGTCCATCTACGAGTTAACTACTTCTTCCGTAGAACAGATAGAAAAAAAAAGATTAACGCTCGTTTACGAAGATGGCTAGGTCTACCAAAGTGTCTCAGTAGCGATGCCCTTTACAGTAATTCCGATACTCTTCAATTCCCATTTAAAAGCTTTGTAGAAGAATACAAAGTCGCTAAAGTGCGAACGGTATATATAATAAAAGTTCTCCAAGGATCCAAAAGTGGCAGGAGCAAATATTGAAGTCTACACTGGGAGGAAATGGAACGCGATAAAGGAGTTGAAATTGGCAGAAGAGCGTCTTCGCGAAAAAGTAGTACTGGGTACTGCTGCCACTGGTCGTGCAGAGCTTGGGTTTTTCCCCACAGTTAGAATTGACAAAGCCGTAAGCAAAGAAAAAAACATCGACTCTTACTGGATGAAATTCGCGCAGAGGAAGAGGAAATGAGAGTAGCAAAAACGAATGGGTTAAAACAACAAGGAGCTGGACAAAATAGGTAACAATGATTCATAGGAAAGTTAGATGGTCTGAACTATGGCGTAACGAAATAGGCATGAACTTTATAATTCGAACCCAGTTAACCTAAAACTATGGACTAAATCGGAATCGCCCTTATGCCCCTTAGGCAGTCAATTAGGGTCATTAAAACACAGTAGTAGGCTGCAGATCAGCGCTGGATGATGGTAGGTACATAGGCGCCATGATCAGATATTAAAAGACATAGCAGAAGTCGTCAATACAGCCATCCATACAAACACATTTAATTCAAGCAGGAATTTTATAAATTTATTAAAGCCGACGAGAAACCGAACCCAAAGAAAATGATTGCACCCAATTGTCTATCGGGTGCAACACACTTGGATCTTAGAGTAGATGTATGCAAAAGATTAAACTTCCCGGATTACATCTTCCAGACCCTATTGCGTCCAGTCTTAGTCATCTTTTTAAATAAGTTAAAGAAAATCATTATGTGGGAATTAACAGTCTGTTATGAGGACAATGCAGAAGAAGCGAATGAACGGAAAAAACTAATATACGACGAATTACTGGAAAATTGTAGGGGCAATGGATAGAAGGCAAGCTGCAAGCCAATTGGGGTTCTGTAGCAAAATCACTAGTCAGCGCCCGAACAGATATTGGGATAGTGGGAACAAAAAGACGAAAGGCTATCCAAATTATGACTGAGACAGCAGGAAAAAACAGCTAAATGGTTATGACTAAAACAAGCCAAGTGCATAGAAAAGCAATCAGGTAAAAAAACTCCAAGTTCGAGATAAATGGAAACAACGTGTTTTTTTTTTGTTGTTTTATTTTTAGTAAATTATTTTACGCAGTGTAATTTTATAAATCTTTAATTGTATATTATTTTAATATAAATAGTATAAAGATATGTCACAGCTTATAACTAATTATAAATGGCGTATTTAGTTTGTAACTATGTATAGTCAGAAAATTAGTTGTAGTTATTTTTTTTGTATGTCTCCCAATTTTAACTTATTTATCTAACTAATCTATTTTATCTTTATTCATTATCATTATTTTTTTCTTACTTGATGCTTAAATATTGGTAAGGATATATTGCATATTCAGTGGGATTTCGATATTTTAGCATCTAGAATAAAGGCACAACATCGTAAAGTTCAAAAGGGGTCGTTTTTTTTTCGATAGTTTTTCCCTCCATTTTCGTTCTTTATTGCTTAATGGAAGTCTTTTGGCTTCCATTTTTTCTCTTTTTCTTTTTCTTTCACCAACTATGGGACTATATGTGAATTAATAATTATTTGTGACTAATTCTTGTTAAACGACTTACTTAGCAACATTGTTCACCTCTCTATCCGTAATTTTTTCGCGTAACGATCAAAATCGTAAATTTAATTTTATTTGTTAATCTCACTCGTTAATTTTACGAAGTTAATCGACAGATTCAATGGAATTTTCTAAGTTTACTCGTTCAACTTGTTTTAAACGACATTTATCTTTATATTTATTTTCGTTTTAAGACGCTGATCAATTTACTTATTTTAATCGTAAAAACAACGTAAATTTCTAATTATTTTAAGGTTGCATCTTTTTTTATTTCTTATATTATTTTATTGGTTTATTTTTTATCTTTTTTTTTCTTTACTAACAGTAATTATCAGGAGGGGAGATGAAACTTGAAAAAAAGTAAATTTGTAAAAAAAAAAAAAACCGGAAAACATAGTTACCTTCCGAGTATCCGATGAGTAGCCACACACACACACACACACACACACAAAAGTAAAAAAAATCCCCCGTAAACAACTTAAATAGACACACACACACACACACACACACACACACACAGAGGGAGAGAGAGAGAGAGAGAGAGAGAGAGGGAGAGAGAGAGAGAAAGAGAGACGTGCATATACATTATATCTGTGTGTTAACACCTTATATTGATATTATAAGATAAAAAAATAAAAAGTACTGATAAAGATCGTATTACATACATAAAAAACGTACTAGTTTTCAAATACATATCTCCAACCTTGTAAATTCCAGGATATTAAAATCTGTTTTTTTGGTGGTATATATATATATATATATATATATATATATATATATATATATACACACACACACAAAAGTAAAAAAATAAACAAATTAAATATACACACACACACACACAAAAGTAAAAAAAAAAATCAACTGACACAACAAAAAGTAAAAAATCCCCCGTAAACAACTTAAATAGCCACACACACACACACACACACACACACACACACACACACACACACACACACCACGCACACACACACAAAAGTAAAAAACCCCCGTAAACAACTTAAATCGAACTCACACCATTGCGATCAGCTGTTGGTCAACTGCCAATCAAATGCGTGACAGAGGGGTAGGGTTTGTCTAATATAATTCAGTGTCTGCGGGCTGTCAATTTAGATGTGGGGGGGCAAATGACCAACTCTGATGACAGTATGATGTTTGAAAGACCCGACACTGTCCAATGATCTAAATCAGAACATCACTGACGACGCCCTCTAATGCTGAAGAGCGTATATTCAAAGTTATAATGTTATTGACGTGTTGGCGTTGCCCCGCTGTTTATACTTCCGTTTTCACTTGGCGTTTCTGTGATGAGCCAAGATGATCTCAGATGTCTACAGCACACTGCGGATTGATTGCTGCCACTAAGACGGTACTGAGGTGTGTTTTCCCAGGGAGAACGCTTTTACTCAATGATGTTTACAAAATATCCTCATACCGGAGTTTTGGGCTTTCAAATATTCTCCTTCCGTTTGAAAGTTCTCCTTAATTGTCTACCCTCCGGTCATTGCCCAACCAGCGGAGACGTCGTTGCTTAAGAGGAGAGTACATGCTGAGTAGAACGGTAAAATATTTCTATTACTGCTATATTTATTACTCATATATATATATATATATATATATATATATAATCTCCAGCAATTCAAATGTCATGTCAATCGACATCTCCAGTTGCCTTGATCTATCTACCTTCTCCTCATCCATTCTTCTATCACTCCGATCTTATCTTGCTCCAAATTCTCTGTAACCCCTTGCGTTCTAGTGGCTTCCCGCTTTGCTTGGGGTGAAACGCTTAATATATATATATATATATATATATATATATATATACAAAAAAATCGTTCGTTTTGAAAACACCTTTCTTTTACTGGAAATACATTCGCACAACTATCGTCCTTGTAGTGCCTTGCATGTTGTCAGCATATCAAATTTAGTATGTCAAGCATCTTGTCGAAATCATTACCGTCTTGTCTTCAAAAATTACTACTGTAATTCCATCTCTGCTGAAAAACGCGCTGGTTAGCAGACATACCTCACCTCGTCTTGTTATCGGCGGGCTAACTGCCCACTTACTTATCTATTTACCTGGCAAGCAAGATAGATCGACTTTTTGCTGTTTAATGTTAGAAATACCTGCAACCAATTGCTCTGTATCTCGTAGAATGCGGAAATGAGCAAGAAAGGAAACAGGTGAAAAAGATACGGAGGCTATTACAAGTGTGCTTCGATAGAAATGTTACGTCATTATTATTGATGCATAGATATATATTTATGATGCAAGAGATGGTATCAGATAGGATAGTTTTAGAATATATATATATATATATATATATATATATATATATATATAAAGAGAGAAATTACTGTTGTTCCAAC